GCGCAGTGCAATCGCGCGCGGTGTGCCCTCTCTGCCCACAAACGACACATTTCTTGCGGTAAGCGTCTTGCACCTCTGCGGGCGCAGTGCAATCGAGAGCCCAATGATCCGGACTACCGCACAGGTGGCAGGGGTGTTTTAGTTTGGCGTGACTCCTGTCAGGACAGTCATATATCCAGTGATCAGGACTACCGCACGCAGGGCACGGATGTCGAGGCTTATGCTGCGCTCGGTTGGGACAATCGCGTCCCAGATGTCCCTTCTCCTTACACACGGGACATCCCCTGCGATATGCCCTCTGCACTTGGTAATGCGCAGTGCAATCGACAGACCAATGGTCCAAGCTACCGCATCGGTCGCAATGGGCATTTGGTTTGATGTGAGCTCTGTCGGGACAGCGGTGTATCGGATGGTTCGGACTACCACACGCAAGGCATGGGTCCGAAGGCTTATGTTGCGCAGCGTTGCGAGCTTTATTTTCGGCCACGTTGACGCCGGAGATCATATCGACCGTGCTCTCTCGGGCGGAGATATTCGCTGCGGGAGCAGAGGCAGCGTCGACATCGGGAGCTGCAGAGAATGACAGAGGTGGCGAATGAGCAGTGGGTGGTGATTGAGCTGGAGTTGAATGAACGGACAATCCTGAATGATGATCCAATTACATCCAAAGGAGCAACTGAAAACTCTCCGCAGATGAGTATAGCTCACCTGAAGACGACGGGCTGGTCTCTCCTTCGCTCACAGAGCTTGCAGAACCCGAAGTTAATGCTAAGCCTTCCGCACTGTGTGAAGCGGCCTCCGCGCCAGAGTGACTGCAGACGGCATTCGTTGTGTCGCTATCATCAGCACCTGCTTGGCCTTTAGGCGGGTACTGCTTATTTCGTACGCATCCTGAAGATAGATGACGGAGTCCAAGAACGTGTACACGCGCGCTGTTCCGTGACGAGCTCGGGACATGGCTGTAAGGTCGGACGAAAGAGAGCGTTGTCACTGGGAAGCAGCTACGGCCGAGAAATAGAACACGCCCACTATATAACGGTTTGACGGCAGCCACAGAAGATGACATTGTGCGCACGAGCGCAAACACATTTTGGGCGCCAGGACCCGGGTGCACATAGTGAGAGACACAGAATCTACGGCAGGCTCCGAGTCCCCATCCGTCTCCGGAAAGTAGGGTGTGCATCGAGACTCCTCCTTGTCACCCGCCTCTGCCAGGAGTGTGGTGGAGGGGGCTCAATACAATTCCATAAATGATGCATGATGATCAAGCGACGCCTTCAAGCTTTAAGCTTCAATCGCAGTGTCTTTTATTTAGTATGCACACCGAAGTGAAATGTTCGTGCGCATCCGCGTACGTATCTTACGCTTCGTATACGCATCCGAACTCCACCAATAAAGCTGATTCTAATCGTCCGAAATGCGTAACATCAAGATTATTACAGATCGCGCAAAAAGACGCTAGAGACAAAGGAACTCGTCGCAACATCGAATATAGCCTTGCCGTTCGCTGTTGTCTTGCGGGTTTTCTTTGGGCAGTACTGTGTGGTTGTACGTCTGCTTGGAAAGGAAGGAGAGGGAGGATCGAATGAATGTGGAGACACTCTATGATGACACCAGCGCGCAAATGTTGAATAATCCGCCACACGCCAGTAAATTCACGCCCGTTTTACGCTTTGATATATATATACCGTGGTTCCACCAACCAATCTCGAAGACATCGAGATTGTTATTGTCATAACATCCAGTGAAACGAGCTATCAGAGATAGATTCAAGAAGATGCCAGACAGAAAATAAGTCGTAGCAACGCTTGATGCAATAATGCCGTTGGCCGCAGCGTTGCAGGAATTCTGGGAGTACAGCGTAGTTCTATATTTGCGCGCGAAGCAAGGAGAGAGCATCGAATGAATGCAGAGAGACGAGGTGCTCTGCTCTTCAGTTTTTGTGGTTGGCAGCAATACCGCGGGCTCGCCGGACGCGCAGGTTGGCCAGCATCTTCCGACACTGGCTCGTAACATGCAAACCTCCACAATGTGCACATTCCCTCAATTCGAAACCAGGGGTTTTGTCTTTTTCGGGACAGTCATACAGCCAATGGTCAAGACTACCGCAAACAGGACACGGTTTTGAAGGCTTGTGTGCAGCACGGTCGGGACAATTGCTCCCAGTGTGCCCTTTTTGCCCACAAATGGTACATCCCCGATAGGCCTTCCGTTCTTCTATGGGCGCCGTGCAATCAACAGCCCAATGATCCAGTCTACCGCAGTGGCCGCAGGGGATTTTTGGTTTGATGTGAGTTCTGTCAGGGCAGTCATACATCCAGTGATCGGGACTATTGCACGCAGGGCACGGATGTCGAGGCTTATGCTGCGCTCGGTTGGGACAATCGCGTCCCAGATGTCCCTTCTCCCCACAAATGGCACATCTCGTGCGATAGGCCTTCCGTTCCTCCACGGGTGCAGTGCAATCGACAGCCCAATGATCCGGACTACCGCACACAGGGCACGGGTTCAAAG